TATATATATATATATATATATATCAGAATATATTTTTATTCTTGACATGTATTTTATATAAACATGGAACAAACTCTCCACTCATTAGCACTGATGATGTTAACTAGTTGAGTAATGAAATATCTGTAAGAAAACAACCAAAATCAGAGAACTGCAAGGACTCTATAGTTCAGCTCCGAGCTGCACATATTCTAATGGCTTTATCTATCCTTCCTTCCTTCCTTCCTTCCTTCCTTCCTTCCTTCCTTCCCTTCTTCTTCCCCTCTTTCCCTTCCCTTCCTTCCCTTTCCAAATTCCTTTCCCACAAGTTGCCAGATAGATGACAGGACATACAATCAGAAATCCTTATGTATTGTAATGAAATGTGTTAGTGTAAAAAAAAGTGCTACTGGAGTCCTGATCTTTTGCTACCATAGACTAAAAGGGATCTCCTTCTGCTGTGCCATATTTAATGAATATTTTTTTTCTTATGAAATGGTTCATCTCACCTGATAGAATTCACCCACTTGGCGTACATAGCCAGCAACTTCAGGATCTTTATCATGTATTCGCCATATGATTCTCTCAGCATCTTTGTATTCTTTCACTTTGCCCCATGGCACAGTGGGCAGAAATCGTTCAGTAAGTGGAGCTGCCACAATGATATCAAGTTGCCCATTGTATAAGAGAACCTGAAAGTCAAATATAAGTATAAAACCAAGTAAAGCTCATAATATTGTTTTCACTGCTTATTTTATTGATTTTTATCAACCCTACTCATTATTTTAATTATTATTATTGCTGCCAGTCTTGATTTTATACTGTTAGGTTTTTATTTTATTTTGATTTCAGTGTATTTTTAATCATTTTCATAGTGAAAAAGAATATTTAGATGGTCAATAACTGATTAATATTACATCAATCATTTATATCATAAATTTGATAATAAAGTAGTAAAAAGTGTTGCAGAATGAAATCTTAGCTTGGAAAAAAATTGTCATCTCTAGCATAGAGGGATAAGAGACACAAACAAAAAATCAGAAGCCAACAAAATACAGTGGTTTCTCAGGTGCATAATTTCTGAAATGAGTTTGAAAAAACACTGGCAGTTCCTGACAAGTTACATACAGGCCCCATTTTGCAGTAATCAGGTGGAGAAAAACCTGCCCAAACATAATATACATTTCCAGCCCTTGTCACTTTATTAATTCTAGAATACTACTATTTTTAAATATTTTATCTATAGAGATCATAATATCAATCTTGTCATATATGATTATTATATTTACAGAGGCTGGGATGAAGAGCCTTAATTACATTAAAAATGACAAAATATCATTCAAGAAATGAATAAGGATCTAAAAGTCTAATGTCTCTATTGTTAGCTTTGTCTACAAGGATTAAGCAAACTTTTAAAATACAAAGATTGTTATTTTAATCTTTGGAAAGATATTTAAACACATAAATGGAAATTTAAAAACTTTTAACTTTGTTTCTAAGGTAGAGATGGAGGGCAGGATAGAAAGACAAAAAAAAGGCACAACACTATTATACAATTAGTATCTTTTCAGTACAGCAAGATTAAGATATGCACAAAGATAGAAACATTCAGCAGTACCCACAGTGAAGGAAGGGTTGTGAAACATGGTAGAACTTATTAGATAACAAAATTGAGTTATTTAGTCAGAGAAAGGACAATATCTACATTTATTGCTGACTGGAAATCCCTTATGGACTTTTTGCATAAAACAAAACAGAATAAAAGCTTATGAATTAATGATTTATGGTTTATTAGACAGAATATATTATAGACAGTTAAGATGCCCCCCTAAAGAGGAAAATTTATAATTATAACTATAATTGCTGTAAATAATGTATCTTTTTCCTTTCTTTTCTTTCTTTTCCTTTTCCCATTTTCTTGCACTTTTAGCTTTCTTTCTTTTTCTTATTTTGTATTGGTATTAGTTTCTTCCCTCTTAATTTTTTTAATAAAAATTATGACTGTGTGTGTTTATAAATATAGTCTCTATTTTCTCTATCTACACACACACAGTATCATAGCTGAAATCTATTCACTGTAGTTTATACAGTTTATACAGAAATAAGCAGCAGCAGCAGAATATTACGAATATTAGGCTTTGCTATCAAAATGGAAAGGAAGATTGGGAATAGATGTGCTCAGTTCAGGAACATATGCAGAGGAAGAATCAAAATCTCAAAATGGTAGTTGTGTCTGAAGCCCTATCATTCTCACTTCCTTTTTTTAAACATATAAAAAAAAGATAAGGCTTCAGTCACGTGGTTATAGCTGCCATCTTGACTTTTTCTATTTTCACACTTAGGAAACCAGGTTTGGCCTAAACGTTCAGAATCATAGAACATCTCTTAAATCCTTGGGTGCTGTCCCATTGAACATTATTCAGCATCCAGAGACTAACAGTAATGGTATTCATTTGATAAAAATATTAGTTTAAATATTGTTTATTATTGTATTATTTGGCTCATCTTTTTTTCATGTGCAGCTTTTTTCATGCCATCTCAAAGTACAAATGCAGCACTTGATTAGACAATACTGTGAATTCCCAATTCAAAATTAAGATATTAGTGTATATCATTTCAAAAAGGAGATTTTATTAATACCAGAACATACTTCATTCTATAAAGATGACTTAACTTTCTCTTTAAATCTTATTAGATACTTCTGTAGTCCATTCTTTGACAGAAAGTTAGCACTGTCTAATATGATCAAAAGTAATATTAAAATTTAGCATGACCATATTTTTTCACCCAAATACTGGATGGTTCCATGATCATCTAAAAGGAAAGTATATTATGTATAGAAAGATAATTGCAGTGGCAAATGTACTTCAATAGCAAGTCAATGTTTATTTACCAAAACAGATAGAATGACCATGAGTGGACGAAAAAATAATGGGAATGAAAGTGACTTCTAACTTCCTGCTATCTTTCCTATTGACTTAGCTTGTGGAAAGCAAAGGGACATTGGAAATCATGATCACATAACCACAGATCTGCTGCAATAGCCCTAGCTCTCCACATCACACTGAAAAACAACAGGTAAGGACCAACGTTTGTTTATTAGTGTGTGATGCGGGAGGGGCTACATGTGGGATGTACCCAAGCTATAGTCCCTAGAGTGGGAAAGGCTAAGACGTAGGAATTGGGTGGCCACCACCTGTTGAAGGACTCTGCGTCCAAAGGATGCTTTAGTGAATACGAAGGCATCCAGTCGATAGTGGCGAATGAAGGGCATCGGATTTGTCCACGTGACCGCCCTGCAGATGTCCTCAAATGGGGCTCTGGAGACCCACGCTGCCATGGTCACTGTGCTCCTCGTGAAATGGGCTGTGATCTCCGAAAGAGGAGTCTGACCTGAGGCTTCGTATGCTGTGGCAATGGACTGTGTCAGCCATCTGAGCCATATAGTCATAGAAGATACCCTGGCTCCCATGGTGGCGGATAGAAATGAGACAAATAGTGCCTCAGATTTACGGAATGCCGTCATGCACCTGATATAAATACGCAGGGCCCAGCGGACGTCTAGTTGGTGCCAAAGACACTCTCTCTCATGAGAAGGCACCAGGCAAAGTTTGGGAGGATGACCTCCTGTGCCCTATGGAAGGGAAAGTTGACCTTCGGGAGGAACGTTGGATCCAATCTAAGGACCACCCTATCCTGGTGGAATACACACAGGTCTTCCTTTGATGACAGTGCCCCCAGTTCTGACATGCACCTGGCCAAAGTTACAGCGACCAGGAACGCAACTTTTATAGACAGAAGCCAAAGATGAATTGTCCTTAGAGGCTCAAATGGAGGCCCTGTCAAGGCTCTAAGAACCAAGGGAAGGTCCTATGTGGGGAACCTATAGACCATGGATGGATGTAGGTTTGCCACTCCCCATAGAAATCTCCTAACATTTGGGAGTTGTGACAGAGGGGTGGTACCTTCCCCGGAGAGCATAGAGGGGCATATGCATAAGGGACAGGCCCTTGTCTAGGCCGTTCTGTAGGAAGTTAAGGACCTCGGGAACAGAGGCTGAAGTTGGTGATATGTTGAGAGAGGAGCACCATCTGATGAACGCTGACCACATGGAATTATAGACCCTCGTGGTCGACAGGCATCGAGATGCCTAACACAAGGTGCTAGACGCTTAGCCTGAGATCCCTGAGACCTTTTATCCTGGTGCGTTTTGTCCTCATGCTGCCTCAAGCCAGTGTCTATGCATGGTGTCTCAGGTGATGGCTGAGGCAATAAGCCTCCTAATGTTATCTGGGACGAGATCCAGATCCTCTAAATCCTCCCCTTGGGGCATTGGTCAATTGGCCCTTGGGCACATGATCAGTGACAGGGAGGAAATCCATGGAGGTGCCTTCCAGGGGGTCCCCCATGACGTCCCTAATTGCGCTCGGAGAGATGGAAGGTGATGGGGAAATATCCAAATAATGGAATGCCTGCAAAGCCTTGGAGGAAGAGGAAAAGAGGGAGAAGGGCTGAACTTCCTTGCTGGGAACCTGGCTCCCTGGTGCCTAATAGGTCTGGCTGGGGACCTGGAGCGATGTAGAGGGTTAGGCGTGCTATGGGCCTCCTACAGCCTGTCTGTCCCAAATATTCATTTCTCCAGAACTCGCTGTCTGCATTGTTCATCTTGAACAGCAGCTCTGGAGGGGCTCTGGGCAGCTAAAGGCTTAGAAGCAGGGCCTGTCATTTTCCTCTGCCCCCGGTGCCTGATCCCTTGGGCAAGCTTGCCTAGCGACGTCTCTGGCTTCTGCCATCTTCCCCCACTCATGTGTCCTTAATTCGCTGCTTCAGCATCCCCGGGAGACGCAGCTGCGGGAAACTCTGTGGCTGCTACCAGCTGCTTTAAAACGGCCTGAAAAGTCTCGATGATAGGTAAAAGTATTGACTTTCTCAAAATGGCCAATGGATAATGAGGAATACCTCCTTAAAATGGCTGCTACCTCATGGCCTTCAGGATCTCTCAAAATGGCTGCTGACTTGTCAAATGGTTGCCAAAGCCGTTGGAATCTTCAAACGACTGCAGGCACCATCAGAGGCTTCGGACCGGCGCGCTGTTGCTACCACACCAGCCGAAAGTTGGGACGAGGTAGCAGCCCCTCCCGCTGAGCTCAAATGGAGCCTGTTACCCCTGCCTTCCCAGGGACTGGACATTGCTCCAGGTGATCTTTGGAGAGAAGAGGAGATAGCCGAAATGGCCCTCCACACCTCTGAGAAGGCAGCACAAAGCGGCCTCAATTAGCACCACCAGCTCAGATTATCAATTTGAAGAATTTAGAAATTTTAGAATTGATGTTAAAGCCAATTAAGATTATCCGATTAAACAATTAAATAATTTCCTCAAGGAAGAGCCAATACACTAGCCTGTATGGACCAAAGACTGAGAGGAAACTGGGAGAGCCAAGAAGAGGAAGAGGCATATAAAAGAATTCCCCTCAGTCTCTGAATCAATCAGGTTTTAAAAATATCCCATGCGTAGCCCACACTGGAAAAAGTTCAATTCTTTGGGAGTAACGTGTTCTCAATTTTTATGCATTCTTTAAAGTTAGATTTTATCTATCTTAATTCAAACCTGCAGTATAATGTACCATTTGGGCTAACAAGGTTACAAACAAATTAACACAATGGGGTTTTTAATAGTATATAAATACATAAATACTGTATATTGGGATTTAACAGCAAACTCTAGCACCGTGATGATGAATCTATGGCACGTGGATCCATATCTGAGGGCATGTGAGGTGTTGGCCTATGTCAGATCCAGCTGATTTTTGGCCTTCCGGAGGGCAGGGAGACCATTTTCACCCTCCCCAGACTTTAGGAAAACCTCAGGGGGCCTGTTGATGGCAAAAAATGGTCCCAACGGGCCTACTGGAAGTTCAGAAACAAACTTCCAGTAGGCCCATTGGGCTATTAGCTTTCCCCTCCCCAAGCTTCAGGAGGCTTTTCTGAAGTCTGGGGAGGGCAAAAAATGGCCCAAAGGGCCTACCAGAAGTCCAGAAGCTTCAGTAAGGCCTGCATGCATGCACAGGGGAAATGGGGGGGAGTTAGGCAGGCTTGCATGGGGGGGGAGCGTATTACATTATGTGTGTGTGTGTGTGTGTGCACCCATGCGCTATCACATGCGCGGGAGCCCTTTTGGCACTCAAACAGAAAAACATTCACCATCATTGCTCTAGCACTTAAGTCAAGATAAGAATCCTTTATATTAGTCATTTTCATAGAAAGCATATGTGTATTTTAAATCCTTGTTACTAAAACGTGCTAGGCTTAAAAATCTTTTTCTGTAAGATTCATCAAGCTGGGAAAGATTTGACTCTTTTTCTAAAAGAGGTAGTTCTCAAAATCTTGATCTTCCATGAACTCAATAAAAACTTCATGTACTTAATATGCTTAATAATATGTTGATTATAATTATCTGCATTGCTCAATAACTGTCTGTGAAGAATGCAGGGACACAAGTGACAGATATTTATTTTTGAATTTACATTTCAACCGACAAATCAAGATGATTATTTGGAGAGCCACCCCACCCCCCAATTGTACTACTAATTTTATCTCTCTCAAAAAAAGGTCTTAGTATTGTGTTTCCCCGAAAATAAGACAGGGTTTTATTTTCTTTTGACCCCCGAAATAAGTGATTGGCCCTATTTTCAACGAGGTCTTATTATTTTTGAGGTGCAAAAGGTAGCGAGAGTTGTCACATCATGGCTACTGCTGTGTTGCAATATTTTGGGAAGGGCTTATGTTGGGGGAAGTGCTTATTTTAGCGCATGCGCTCAAAAGCCCGATTGGACTTATTATCCGGGAAGGTCTTATTTTCAGGGGGGAAAAGTAGATAGATGAGACTAAGAGAGAAAGATTGATCCAAATGTAGTCAGTAATCGGTATGCCCAATACGGTTTAAACCTATGTTTCCTCCAATCTAATTCCAATATATGAACAGTAGTTCTGGAGTAAATAGATTCTATTAATAGATTTTATGTTTTAATTTTTTAATTTAATATTTAATTTTTTTCTTATCCTTGGCAAGGTAACTATCATGCCAAAACCAACTTTTAAGCCACGAGGGAAAAAATTATATTACTGACTTGTAAATTAATGCAGAAAGAATTATATTACTGCCTCACTTCTTTTCAGAAAAGTAAAACAAGGATGCACCTAAGTAAAAACAAAATTGACTATCTTTGCAAAACTTCCAAATTATTTATACACACTCACTTAAAACAGTATACTTGTTTTCTATAAAAATACATACAATATAAGTCATAATAAATGTTAAATATCCAGGTTCTAAAACTGACAAGTAAAAAACTCAAGCTGGCATCTTACTTACTCTATAATGATCCATTAAAACAGCCAACCAAGGTTTTATTGTCTTCATTATATCTTCAACCAAGTGCTCCTCAACCATAGAACCATCATGGAAGGTCAAATTTCCAACATGGATAGATTTTCTTATGTTTGGCAGTGATAATAGATTTCCAAAATATTCCTGATCTTCAGGCTCCTGTTATTAAAATGATAAGGAGGAAGAACACATACAAAATTATTTCATCAAAGCTAGAAAACAAATTCATACAACTTACATGTTAGATGGTTCTGCTTTCTTTCTTATAGCAACAACTGTATTTAACACTGTGTCTGTAAGAACTGAAACAATTGACCTTGAAATTTCATGTTCAAGTTTGAAATGATGAAACAATTTAATATGTTTAGATCAATTAACTTCATAAGAAGAAAAAAGCCAGCAGTTTGTAAAAGGTATGATATTTGATAATAAAAATGCAAGTTAATGTAAATATACTAAATACGTTCTGATGTTGGAATATTACTTTGCTAGTTGTTCTTTCAAATAAAAGTTGGATCTGCTGGACTAGATCCAACAGCCCAACTCATGCAGTATGCTGGCACCAGGATTTTTGCCCTCAGTATCTTAAACAAAACTTTACAATATGAAAAAAATATAGGCAGGCAATCTAGCCAATAGCTTTAGACTACAGGTCTGGAAGAAAAAATATCTCTTCTCCTTAAAAAGAATGCATTTCTCAGAAAACAGACAGAATAAGTTAGGATGCTGGTGAAGAGAAAGAAACCTATGTTACTATAGCAGTAACATTGCCTTCATTGACATCTTGACCTACTAAAATACATAACTGGCTATGAGGACTTAAGCTTAAGGTTACCTCCAGATATAACATTTAGAATTGAGGCCAAATAGCTCAGTTTTGGTTTAATCAGATCAGAGACTCTTGTTCCTCCGACTGAGAATCCTTCAGGTGTTATTTTGCAAGAAGGCACAGATCAATGGAGGGCTGCAATAATAGTTGTCCTTCTAGAACTCTGTCTCAACTCTACACAGGCTCTCTGTAACTCAATCAAAGTGACTATCAGGTTCTTGGTCTCTTACTAAGGCCCTTCTCCCCCGATTACTCAGTTTGACCAGTCAACCAGCTCTTGGTAGAGTCCTGATGGAGACAAACTTCTTCCATTTGAGAATTATGGAGGCCACTGTGCCTTCAGCACAGCAAAAATTTTGTAGTCTTTCCCAGATCTGTGCCTTGCAATAATCCTGTCTCTAAGTTTGGCAGACAGTTCTTTTGCCCTCATGGCTTTGGTCTTCTACAGTATGCATTATCAACTGTGAAAACTTCTATAGTGTGTGCCTTTCCAAATTATGTCTAATCAATTTAATTTACTACAGGTGGACTCCAATCAAGGTGTAAAAGTACATCATCAACAACCAAGAGAAATGGGAGGCACCTGAGCCAAATTTCAAGTGTTGTTGCAAACTGTCTGAACAGTTAAAGTGATATTTCAGTTTTTCTTTTTAATAAATTTACAAACATTTCTAAAATTATATTTTAACTTTGCCATAACTTTGTCATAATGGGGTACTGAGTGTAGATTAATGAGAAAAAATGATTTTCAACAACTGTAGAATCAGGCTGCAGCATAACCAAAGTGAAGGGGGTCTGATTACTTTTTGAATGCACTATACATTTTCAATAAATTTGCCTTTTCTTATAAGTACTTACTTCGCACTTCAAGAAATTGAAATAGTTGCTACATCCTGTGACAGTATGAACATAAGGAGGACTTCCAGTTTTATCACCATTCAACAGAGTATCAAATACCTAATGAAGAAATTCATGCAAGTTCAACATGTTCATTTTCATTGTTGAATATGCAATTATTCACTGTTCTACAGTTCCCAAAGCTAGAAAAGAAAAGTTGGTAAAATATACTTGTACTAATAAATACTAAAAGAAAGATCCCTCCTTGCATCAAGATCCAAGTGAATACCATATTTAAAGTCATAAAAGAAAGCTATCCCAATCAAATGTCTCCAAAATAAGTTGAGAGGAAATGTCATTTTATTCCGTGGAACAAATATGGTCTAGATGACTTGGGCCACTCAGTCTGAACCAGCGAATATTTTTCTTCTCCTTATGTAAAGCAGCAGCTACTGCAGTTAATATTCCAGAAATTAAGCTTGCCTGCATGATATCAGCAAAAATTAGTGTAACAATTTTATTTTAAATGAACAGTTTTCTGTTCTCTTCTTTTTTAAGACGGTTTTGTAAAATATGGAAGATTCATTAGATTGCTGGAAATGCAAGATGCTGCGAAGTGGCTCATGTCAGTTAATTCTGTATGGTAACCACTTTTTTCCCCAAGTGTCTTTAAAAAATTAGAATATTTATTTGTGGATAGAAAAGTTATGATAAATATGTCCAAGCATCCTCACAACTTCCAAGATTATTTTTCTTCCAATTTCTGGAGATAAGAAAAAGCTTTAGGACATTCAAAAATCAGAATTAATAAATTAAAGCAATTCATAAAAGAGATGCCTATGTAAACACACACTCAAGTGCTCAAGTTTGAAGGGATTCCAATGTAAACTTTAGAGGAACATTGGCGAATGACTTCTCTCCCTATTCATTTTCTTTTTGCTCCTGCTGCAATCAAGTTTGTGACCTCCATTTGATTTCTTTCTGACCCCTTACTCTGCTCAGATGGTTTTAATTGCTGAAGGCCATTATATGGGCCTCTATGACATACTTCAAAGGCTTCTTTCCATTTTTTCTGCTGGATGTATTGTTGTCCCAGATTAGTCTGATTTTGGACATATATCTTCTGCTTCTCATCTAACAAGCCAATTTGATATAAAAATTCTGCATAGCCTCCCAGCATCTGATCAAGAAAATGAACAATATTAGTCACGATTGTTTTCATTGTAAAAAGTAATTGAAAAGATTGAAAAAACATAACAAAATCAATACACTTTTGCTGAATTTTATACACAGGGCTAAAGCAAGCTAACACTATACACAGTAAAAATTCAATGGCTTTTAAGCAGCCATCTTGCTGGGATTGCACCAGAGGTGGTATTAAGCCAGTCGAGCAAACTGTTAGCAGCGGCTGTGGGAGGCTCCACCTACACGCCCCTAATATAATGTGCAACCTTCTGTGCATACACAGACCAGTTGTGGGATTCAAAAAATTTTACTACCAGTTCTGCGGGTGTGGCTTGATGGGTGTGGCGTGGCTTGGTGGGCATGGCTTTGTGGGTGTGGCAGGTGGGACTTGGGAGGCAGAAAATAGATGGGCGCGGAACCAGTCCGAGGTGGTATTTGTCAGTTCTTCGAACTACTCAAAATTTCCACTACCGGTTTTCCAGAACTGGTCAGAACCTGCTGAATACCACGTCTGGTGGGCATGCACTCATATTTGCGAATCAGTAGGGAAGGTAAGTGAATTCCACCACTGGGCTGCACCTAATTTCTAATCATATATTTAAGGTTAATTGGATACCAATCAGAATTATGTTCTTTTGGGGTTCTACAATTTCAGAATATAAAAAAATATAGAAATCATACCACTTCAGGGTCACATAGACCATCCCCAATGGCAACACCTTTGAAGTTGATCTTTATCTTTGCTGTAGGATTATTGCTATGAATATAATATCCAATGGCTGGCACATATTTCCCTGCATAAGACTAAAGATAATACAATGATTGAATCATTAATATGTAGAGATTTTTAATATGTTATCCAACTTTCATGATAATTGCTTATATTGTATCTAAAGTAGTAGGCTGATACCCTTAGTTAATTAAGAGTTTCAGATGTGGACAAATTTCAATATCCAGGCAATATCTGAACAGCATCACATAGGTAAGACTGTTATATTTGCTGACCACCGTATCTTACCCTAAAATAAGACCTCCCCGGATAACAAGTCTAATCAGGCTTTTGAGCACATGCGCTAAAAATAAGCCGTCCCAAAAATAAGCCCTCCTGGAAAATATTGCAACACATCAGCAGCCATGAGGTAACCACACTCACTGCCTCCTGTACCTCAAAAATAATAAGACCTCCCCAAAAATAAGGCCAAGCGTTTATTCCAGGGGTCAAAAGAAAATAAGACCCTCTCTATTTCAGGGAAACACAGTAAGCATTCACATGTTTCTTTGGAAATAAAAACACAAAATGATAATGTTCTGTATAAAGAAATTCCTTTATGTCTTCTTTCTTAGTCAATTGGTATCAACAGAAAATTATACATTTGTTTAACTAAAAAAAAGGAAATTCTGTTTATTTATTTATTAGATTCACACCAAACCATTATTTGTACAACTCAAAGAGGCATAGAGAATGCTCCCTCCTCCTATTTTCCCTATTTGCACAAAAGCAAATGGTTGAGCCAGATTATCCAGCAATTTTGATGCCTAAAAGAGGACTAGAATTCATAGTTCCCCAGTTTCTAGCCCAGCATTTTAACAATTAACCAAAATAGCACTTTGTTTCACTATAAGTCTGCAAAATAGTGTAACTCAGAGAAAACATGTATAAAATTTAACTATTTAGTAATAATTTGAAGCAACTTTTTAATATTTCAGAAATGAAAACAAGATGATTTTGGTCACTAGACGCAAAAGGTGTAAAAAATATATCAGATTTATTATTTACATGTCCATCCTCTTTAACTGTTCCTGTTGGCAAAAATTAATTTAAAAAAAACCCTTTAAAGACAAATCTGTATAGTCAGAGAAACAAATATCCAGCAAAAACAGTACCTCTTGACTATAAAACATTATTTGTGTTAGAGATTACCAGCAACAACAAATTGAACAAAAGCATTGTTAGAGCTATTATACCCAATATATTGCTACGAATTTTATCTCAGATGTGGAAAGTTATTTTAAAAAGAAAAATATCAGCGGAGCTATTTACAATACCAAAAAAAATATCTATTTCTCTGATGAATAGATGCAAGAACCTCTGAAGAAAGCTGGTAAAACAACATAGTTGCAAAACTGAATTTTAATTCTTTATGTTCAAATCAATGCTACAGGTTAAATTTAGAAGTCAAAATTAACCTCTGGCTGAAAAATCTGAAAAAAAGAAAAAAAAAGAAAAGAACTTGGTTTTCAACCCGTTTTGTAAAACAAGGAACAGTGCTACTTACAGTTCCCTTGCCTGATGTTTTATGGATCTATCTGTATTATTTTACAAAGTTTGAATTCCTGCATGCTCACATGTAAATAAGCTCCACAGTTCGAAATGTTAACAATAAGGGTAACTGGAAAAAATTACTGCCTTTCTTCTATTTGTTCTGAGCTATGGTAGTGCAAGTGATTAGAATGCCAGCAATTCAGCAGTTTGAATCTCACAAGCTCAAGGTTGAATCAGTTCGGTAAAAAGACTGAAAGAGGTATATACCATATTTTTCGGAGTATAAGATGCACCGGAGTATAAGACGCATCAAGGTTTTGAAGAGGCAAATTTAAAAAAAAGTTTTCGCACTCTGCAGACCTCCCCAAAACAGCCTGCTTTTTTGTGAAAACGGGCCCTTTTTTTAAAAAAAAAGGCATAAATAGCCTTTAGGAGGCTTGTAGATGCTCCTGGGGAGTGGGGCCCCCAAAACGATCAAAAAATGGCCTGTTTTTTGTCAAAAAAATTGCATATATAGCCTTTAGTAAGCTTACAGAGTGCTTCTGGGGACTGGGAGGGGGGGGGGAATTGAGCAAAAAACAGCCTGTCTTTCGCTCATTTCTGCCCTCTCCAGGCACCAGGAGCTCTCTGAAAGCCTCATACAGCCTCTGCACAGCCATTTTGGTGAAGGGGGGCGAGGTTTCAGGAAGCAAAAAATGCTGTATTCCATGTATAAGACACACCAGATTTTCAGCCTCTTTTTTGAGGGAAAAAGGTGCGTCTTATACTCCAAAAAGTACGGTAAGTCTAAGTAATATTTAACTTTCTTGTAGGAAAATTGATTATCCTCTCAAAAAGCATGATTAGAAAGTTTCAATCGAGCTTCCAATACTAAAGTAACTTACATCAGAGCTGATAAATCAGTGCCATTCAATAAGAGTTTGCTTTGCAAGTTCAATTCATTATATACCGTTTATCAATTCTGCTTGCATAATGATATCACATTTAGAATTAGAATTGAATATATTGTTCCAAATGTTATCTCATTTTGAAATAAATTTTTCTGAGTGACCAAATTATCGGTCTAGAACTCTTGCTGGTTACTGTATCAGCAATTCTATTAATTAATATAAGTTTTATTTCTTCTTTAACATATTCATACAAACAGTTAACATAAAAACATATTCCTTAATAGAATATGTTTATATGTAAAATAAAAATTTACACTCACAAATTGACAAATGTTTAAGCAAACTTACTTCTCCTGTTGCATAGAAGTCATTTTTCTGATAATCAGGAAAAAGCTGGAAAAACTGAACAATTGCACTGAAAATGCAGATATAATATTAATTAATATACACACTGAGACACTGTAGTATAAGCTTATAGCTCACTTTTTGTCAATGGAGCAAGCTAGATTTGCTTAATAACTGCACAGTTCACTTAACATCTGCAGTGGTTTACTTTATAGTCATGATGAAAAATTGGACATGACCCACTTAATAATCACCCAGCCTTAGGAATAGACATTCATATTTTTGTCATAAGTCAGGACTAGCTGTAAATATTAAACATATGCAACTCATTTAAAAGAGATCTTTTACAACTATGCAAAGCACCACTCCTTGAAGTATTAAAAGCATCATGCAATTCTTCCATATCATAAAGAAGTATTGCATGACTGCTTTGAAACCTGTCCTTGGCTGTCTGTGTGTATTTAACACACAGTGAGATAATCCTGCACAGCTGCTCCAACAGATGTACACATGCATACATGGACAAGCAGGGATACATGGATCTCTGGAAACAGTGAAGAAGCCTTATAAAAGACAGCTGCTTTAATACTTCAAAGATTGCTGCAAACGCTTTGCTCAGCTCTAGTAAATATTCTAAATCTCTACAAAAAGTTGTGCCGGACTTATTTTTGTACTTACTTTTCTGTGAGGGAGAAGGAGAAATTCAGCTTTAACTTACCTATACAAATCTCTTCCAACATCATCTTCATTCTTTGCATATCCTTTCGGATCATCTGTAAAACTGAAGCCAGTTCCAACCTGATAGTTAAAGAGAACCAGAACATGTGAGGACAAAGAATTCCGTTTTTTGCTGTTTTCCACATCAAATAAAATTTAATTAACTACATAATTTCTCCTACAGCTATTGTTTTACTCTTGTTTTGCACTTATATTTATGTCTATTCAGAAGTCAATTTCATTAATTTCATGAAAACTAATGGGCAAATTTGTAAATTAGTAAATTGTCTGGATATTTGTATATTTTTTTATATTGTAAGCCACTCAGTTGCCTTGAACTGAGAAATAGATAGCAAATAAATTTAAGGATAAAAGTATAATAGTAATATAGTAGTAGTAGTAGTTAGTGGTGGTGGTGGTGGTGTTCTTTCACTTAGGGCA